TAAATGTTAGCCGAAAAGCAACCTATTACATCATACAAGATGATAAGCTAAGGTTCTCTCTTCCTCTATGAGATATCTCAACCTCAACGAAGCAAACTACATCATACGGGAGATCCACCAATGAGTATGTGGCAATCACTCGGAGGCTAGATCTACGGCGGCCAACATAGTTCTGCAAGGCGATTACTAACCAACCATAGACCACAACATTAAGAAATTCGCTAAGAAGTGTGACAAATGTAAATGCTTGATGAATGCTCAGCACTAGCCTTTCAAACTATTGACTCCGATCTCGAGTCCATGGCCCTTTGTCCAGTGGAGGTTAGATCTGGTCGGCTCGGATAGAGAAAATACAGTTGGATAGAGCAATATTGAGGAGTATCAGGCCATAGTCGGATATTGAAGAGTATCCGACTCTCAACTTATAGTCTACCACAATACCGAGGAGTATCGGGCCAAAGACAGTCGAATAAAGCACTACTTAAACAAGGCTCGAGAAGTCCTCACCAAGTTCAAGGAATATGCCATCCACCAAGTGCCTCGGTCTGAGAAATCAAATAACGATGCATTGGCTCACTTGGCATCAGCATACGAGACCAACGTACCCAGGTCAGTACCTGAAGAAGTGCTTAACGATCCTTCTATCATGTAGGTCGAGCTGATGGACGTGCAATCTAGCATTCGCAATTAGATGGACCCATTCAAGGATTTCATCTGAGGAAAATTTCCACCCGTCATGGCTAAGACTAGAAAAGTTAGCCGAAAAGCAATCTATTACATCATACAATATGAGAAGCTGAGGTTCTCTCTTCCTCTATTGAGATGTCTCAACTTGAACAAAGCAAACTACATCATAAAGGAGATCCACCAAGAAGTATGTGGCAATCACTCGGAGGCTATATCTATGGTGTTCGACATAGTTGTGCAAGTCTATTACTTGTCAACCATTGACCACGACATCAAGAAATTTGCCAAGAAGTGTGACTAATAAATGCTTCGTGGATGCGCTACACCAACATCTCGAGCTATTGACTCCGATCTCGAGCCATTGTCCTTTGCCTATTGGGGAATAGATCTGACCGACTCATTTCCAACTAGCATATGGCAGATGGAGTATGCCATCGTCGCCACTAATTACTTCAATATGTGGATGGAGGCCAAGATATTAGTGCCTATCGTCAAGGCTAAAGTCACGAACTTCGTCTGGAGAAGTATAGTGTGTCAGTTCGGCATACCCTAAGCTCACATTACAAACAATGACAAGCAATTCGACAATGCTTGCTTCGAGGAGTTTTACGCAGGTCTCATCATTAAACACTTTAGTTCGTCCCCAGCCCATCCTCAAGCAAATGGACACGTTGAGGCAATAAACAAGATCATCAAGCGTGGTCTGAAAATGAAGCTGGAATTGCTCAAGGGACGCTGGGCCGAGGGTGTCACATATGTACCCGATTTTAGGAGGAATCTAATATCTACTGGGAAGTTGGATGAAGAGGGTTACGGTAGTGAGTTTGCATATGGTAGCTGGAAGCTAGTAAGGGGATCCAAGGTAGTGGCAATGGGCCACAAAGAAGCTTTAATGTATGAGTCTAGGTTTGAGGTTGCTAGGGGATCTGAGAGATAGACGATGAACAGGGCTGCAGATGGTTTAGGTCGAGACATGGAGGAATCATCAGCAATGACAACTAGAACAAATGATTGAATTTTGCTATCAGTTCAAGTACAACAGTTGAGAAGTGGATAGATGGGAAAAGGGAACAACTCAGTGAGGTGGTCAACATGTTATCAGTTTCAAGCCCCAATTGTCAGACGATTTGGGAGCTGATGAAAGTCACGTAAGCGAAAGAGTGCATCGAGGAAACAGACCACAGTTAGTCTAAGGTCGAGGGAGAAGTCTCGAGAGTGGTAACAGACTTGGGTGGGAGTGCCAAGTCATCAGAGGGAAAATCTTTCTTTAGGAGTCTTTGGGTGCGAGTGAAGAAGGAAGCATCAGGGCCACTTAGATCGAGTGGGAGCACGTGGCTGTATCTCTAGTATCTAAAAGACAAGACCATGTAAGATTGCTCAATCTCGGAGCAATCACAGTCGAAGCTTGGTCGGGGTCGAGCGGTTGTTGACGCGTAACTGTTGATGCAGCCAGAACAAAGGTTTGACAGGGTTGCCAAGATGATAGGACACTATTGGTGCAGTGGGAGGCGAGATCGATGTTTTGTCTCCAAATGGGAGATTGTTGGGAAATGGAGCCAAGATAGAAAACTCATGTCTTATGAAAGGATGGATTTTCAACACTACTACATATTCCTACAATGAGTATGATATTGTTTTCTTATAAGAATTATAATATTGTTTTTTCCTATAAGGATTAGGATATTGGGCTTCCTATAAATGAACCCCTTTTGTTAAGGTTTTATTTGTACATCATCCAAATAAAAGAGACTTGAGTGGTTGTGGGCAGTGTGTGAAAAGAGAGTCATGTATCCCATGAGTTTAGTAAGTGTTTTTCATTCATGTACCTAAGTATAGTGTGTTATAATACTTAGAAGCTAGATGACTTTTGTTGGGACATCTAGAGGGTGAATATCTTGAGGGATATTTTAGTGCTTTGTATCCAACCTCTTATTATAGTAGAACCTGCATCTGAGCGGAAGACTTGACGTTGTCCATAAACTGTTAGGGTGAATCAGTATAAATATCTTGTGTCGTTTATTGCTTTCCCTATATTTCTCTTTCTTTTGTGATTCGCTTAGATAACTGGATTGAACTGTGGAAGGGGAAATTAGTTAGAGCATCTAATTTCCCAACACATTGTATAATATGACACTACTTTTAAACATAAACAAAAGAAAAGAGGAACAAACTCCTCTTGCACAAGGGAAGAAATATCCTCCAGCCAATCTTCGAGCAAGGTACAGTGATCTTCCTTCCCCAACGATTCTAAGCGAGAGCCAAAGCATTTGTCACTCTATTTCCATCTCTTTTAGTAAATCTGCACATTGACCTTCTAAGATAGTGTGAAATATGTCAATATGACATTACTAAATCCGTAAAAAAAGTAGACTAAAAAAGAGAGCTAAATGGTTGTAGAAAAAGTTAGAGAGAAACTTTATATATATATATAGATACATACATACGTACGTACATGTAGGATATAGATAGGTTGAAACTTTTGAGATGCCAACATTCCATTATTTATTCAAATTAAATATAAAATTATAAATTATTAGATATAAATAAGTCAAACTCTTCATATTCATAACTTCCGCAATATTATTAATTAAAGTTATTAAAAACAAAAAAATAGTATGTTTACTAAATTTGAAAATTGATAAACAGACATAATCATAAAAAATATTTTGCGGAGACCGTAGCATTTTAATATATTATAGATTAGTGTATTACCACGAGAAAATGCACGTAATGTTCTTTTTATTTAATTTTTCACTAACATAAATAAAAAATTTAAAAATATCACTATTTATTGAACAAGTATATCAAAAGTAAAAAATAAAAACTAAATGTTTATAAACTGATTGAATTAATATAACTCAAGTTTGTTGATGAATAAATGTTGGACGAAAAATGTAATTTATATTTTAGGAAAAAGTATAAATCTATTGAAATTTAAAATCAATTAAAGCACGGTAGTTAATTATAATTAAAAATATATATATTTCAAGAAAAGTGAAATGCACATTCAACCTTTTCAAATTCCATGCATTTATTATTAGATGCATTTAAATTTTCATTTATTCAAAGTTAATTTTGAACCATTATTATTTATTTAATAAAAACATGATTTCTAATTTTTTGCATGATGAATTTAACAATTTTCAAAATAGATACTCATAATATTACACATAAAACTTAATTTTTCATTTCTTATTTGTGTATTTAATTAATAAATATAAGAACTACTATAATAAAAATTATTTTATATTTATTACTATTAGTACACTTTGAATTTGTTACATTAGTTTTAATGAGTTATAATAAATTTATAATTAATGATAGAAATATATTTTGAATTTTAATTTTCCATATTTCTAAATCAATGCACGTGTTATGCACATTAAAATATCATTTAGCTACTTTTTAATTCAACAGCTACTAAAAAATGTTATTTTCTTTGTATAAAACTCAAAAAATTAAAAATAATAGCATTATTGCTTAATGTTAGTAGGAGAGAAAATTGTTGAATAATCCATATATTACGTATATAAATTTTAAAATTGAGTAATAATTGAATTTCAAAATTTTGTAATAAAAACTAATAACAATACTAATTGTTAAATAATGTATAACATTAATATGAAGGATTCAATACGTGAATTTCTCCGAGATTGTCCACATTTGATTGCTGTTTGAGATAAAAAAAAATTGCATTATAAGCCGATTTAATGACCTCTACTTATAAATAACATTATCTTGTAACTCTTATAAATCAAGACACTCAATGTACTAGGCCATTGTAATACGACACTACTAAATCTATAAAATATAAAAGAATGAATCAATAAATGAAAAGAAGCAAGCTAACGGAGAGAGCTAAGCGGTTGTAGGAGGAAGTATAGAGAAACTAATTAATATATATAAATGTAGAGAAGGGATATAGGTTGAAAAAAGTTTTCAAATTTCAATACATTTTTGAATTCCATTCCTTTCAATTCAAGTAAAATCATAAATTTTTATAAATAAATAAATATAACTTTACCTATTCAAACTTTTCAATATTCATAACTTTCACTTTTTTATTAATCAAAGTTATTAAAAATAAAAAATGGCATGCGTATAAAAACTTATATTATAGGTATAATGATCTAAAAATATTTTTTTTAAATCTTCCCCTTTTAATATAGTATTGATTATAGATTTAAAAAAGCAACCATTAAAATAATTTTTTTATGGATATGATTTAAACAAAATATTAAGAATGTTGAGACCAAAATAGAATCGACATAAAAAAGTTCGTAAACTTAGAGTTTAAGTATGTTTATCCTTTATTGTTGTTCGTAAACTTAGAGTTTAAGTATGTTTATTCTTTATTGTTGTGATACATACGACCAACATCCTTTGTGGTTGTCATACATAGTACATACGATCCACATAGTTGTCTGATAAGTACTAGTATGTCATCGTAGGCATTCTGATGATGTTATCGATGGCAACACGGACTTTATAGTATAATAGAAGTGCAATGCCTTTCACAATAGGCGAACTAACATTAGTTACGATAATTGGTTTATTGCTAACCGTTCGAAGTTCAATAGCACGAGCAAACTCTCCTTCTCGCTTCTGTGCAATTTGTATTTGTTCGGAAAGATCAGACCAACGATTTTCTAAACTTAAAAATGCAGGGTCTGGCTTAAACTTAGTCTTAACGTTCTCAGAAACTCTTTGCTCAATGTACTTAAACCTTGCAGCTTCTAAGACTGATTGGATGATCACAATGAATGCTCTCGCGATAGAAGTACCAACATTATGATGGAACATGTTGCCAATAGAACTACTTATTTCAGAAAACCCAAGATCAATTTTCTCTCTTGAAATCTTCCCTGCAGCTGTTTCAAGGCCGTCGTAGTTGCCTTTATAGGGAAGTCTCACATGCTTGATGCCTTTAAACAACACATTGTTTGCTTCTGCTGAAGCATCATTTAGAAAGTAGGCATTATTCCCAGCTCGATATGCTACAACATAAATGTTCACTACGTCTATTGCCACAGTGATAGATTCAGTATTATAATTCGTGAGATGCACTAGTATGAAGCGTGCCGATCCCACTGCTGTCGATTGTAGCACGGGTATGCCATACACTACTGGTGATCTTATTGTGAGGGTACTACGTAAGTTCCTTATGAACTGTCGGTAGGTTTCGCTGGTGGCGCCCAACATAGAGAATGAGACATCAGCCTCGGCAGCAAGAGCACCAAAACAGAGAGCAAGAACAAAGTAAAATGGTAGGAATCTCATGTTTTCCAAATTGTGGTTGGCAATAGGGGTGTTGTGTCTATGAGTTTATATAATGAATGATGAGTGAAACTTGGCATCTTTCAATTATTGCACTCACGTTTAGCTCATCTGGTGTGGTGCCTTTGCATGTGAAGGCTTTCATGAGACCAAACTTCCAAAATATGCTATCAGTTTTCTTGTTTTTTAAAATTATTTACAACTTTATTTTTTTAGAACTTTAAAGTTTGCTTTATTAGTTCAAAAAAAGTAGCTTTTGCATTTTGATTTTTTATTTTATTTTTTTAATTGTTGATATGGATATGTTTCTCTTGATATTTCAATCAACTTGATAGTGCAATATTTCTTAACATGAACATTGGCTTTTTAAAAAAATATATATATATACACTTTTTTAATATCTAAACATGCTGGATTTTTATTATTGATATTTTTATTTGTTTTCACTGTTTTCGACTTCATGGTATATTTTTATGAGTACTTTTGCATATGCATTTTGATGTTTTGGAAAAGGGTATACAATTTAACATAATACTGTCAACCTAATAACTATATTCTTAAATCTCTGTGGAGCCTAAACTTATTGTTATATTTTGTGCTGAGTAGAACTAATAAGTTTACATCTAATTAAAATTTTAAAAAATGTATATAAAGGGAGAAAAAGTATGATTTCGGTGTGATTATATATATTTTATTTTATAGAAGTTCATGTCAAATATGTATGGGTTGTCAACCAACACTTTAGAAGGTCGATCTCAATAGATATTTCAAAATCTTCATTTTATGAAAATGTGAATTGCATTATTGATAAAATGTTGATATCGATTGATACTTTTAGAAAAATTATAAAATATAGGAGCAACTCATTTTTACCGGAGCATATCTCTTGTTAAGTGGCATAACTCTGATACTACTTGTTAGGACAAGTGACCTCACAATTCATATGATATTGTCTATTTTGGACATAAACCTCATTGAATTTGTTTTATGTATCACCCAAAAGACTTGATATGAATGAGAGATATGTTGTTCCTAACTTATATACCTATACCACATCTCATTCTCTAGCTAATGTGGGACTTAGATTGTTGATTTAGAATTTAGGGTCCTCAAGACTCCACCGGATTCGCACCAATTATTAATAATAAAATCGGGAACAGACGTCGACCTGCAAAATAATCTTGGTCTCGAATATTACAAGTATAAATTGTAGATCCAAAACTTTATGAACAAATTTTGTTGTCATTAGAACATATTTTCTAAAAAATAAAAAGATAGTAGTTTGAACTAATAAATTATTGAATTTAGTGTATGATCTAATAGATTAATGATCTATCAAGCATGAAATTGAAAATTCGACAACCTATTAGACGAAAAAATTTAAAATTTCAAAACTTATTAGATGCAAAAATTGAAAATTTCAGAACTTATTAGATTCAAAAATTGAAAGTCTTGAGACCTATTTAATAGTTTTTTTATGTTCTAAGTATTTGTTAAACGCAACTCTGAATCAAACTTATAATTTATATAATTAAATTAGTTCAATATGATAGCAAACAAGAATTTTTTATATAAATATAGAAGAAATAAGATGAAATTTGAAATAACAAACCAAAATTTAAGGATTATATAATTTTTTATGCAATCAATTATTTGAAAATAATTTACTGAAATAACAAATATTTTTTACTTAATTTATATTTATTTTAACCGTAAGAAAAAAATCTAATATAAAAAGGAAAATAAAAGATTTATAACATATATTTTTCTTAAATAAAATTTGTTGTCTAAAATAAAAAACAATTATAAATAAAAAAAATCATTACTGCGATTTCCCAGAGGCTACTCAACTCAGCAGTACTTTTTTTCCTTGAATAAACAACAGTTAAGGAAACCTGCACTATTTTACTTAAACGTGTGACCTCAGGGAGAATGAGTACGTGTTCCTAATTCAATGAAATAGTTATTAGGAAAAAAAAATAGAATTAGCAACATACATAAGCATAAGTGGAAAAGATTTAAAGACTCCACACTTGTTATTACTTCACAGAAATTGGAACAAAGCACAAATTCAGAGCATGTCTTATTTGCACACCAACATTAAGGATTAAACTCAAAACACACAACATAAAAAAATGTTGTTCATGTGGAGTTGTCTCACGTAGTTGCTGCTTCTCCAAAGTTACAGTGTAGGCATAGGTTGAACATTCTGTTGGTTCAGCAGCAACTGGAGGTTGCCTTTTACATACGGTGAATTGACATCCATTACATTAACTGGATTACCTGTCTCGCCAATAAGCTGAACGGTAGCTTTAAACCGTCCAGTATTAGGGTCTGCCAGCTGAACTTGTTTCGAGAGAGCACCCCAATTATTCTCCAAAGATAGAATTTCTCGAGTTGGTGGCATGTTGTTTTGAACTGCGTTCTCAATATTTTGAAATCTTGCAGCCTCAGAAATGGTCTGAATGACTACAACGCATGCCTTTGCAACGTCGCTTAGCGTTTGCGTGGAGTTGGGGCAGCTGTAGTCAAACAACTTGGGAATGTTAAAGTTGACGGCTACGAGTCCAAGGTCGAGCTTTTCTCGATCGCCACCAGCCCTTTGAAGTTTTGAGTAACTGCCGTCGAACGGAAGTGTTATTTGCCCCTTTGAATTGGTGAATACATATTTCTTAGCTTGAATGGCAGCAGAATCGTTAAAAAAGTGGGATACGTCACACTTTGGGGTGTAAAACCCGAGAACATAAACGTTTGTTACGTCTATAGCCAGGGTGATGGTATGATCATCACGGTCTGAAAGATGGATTCGTGTGTAGCGATTTGCACCCGTAACAGTGGCTCGCAGTAGAGGTATACCGAACACAGTCTTACTTTCAACGGGAACATCGCCTCTAAAGAATTTGAGGAAAGCTCCATAGGATTTTTTAGTGACACCCTTCAAAGTGAAGCTGACATCGCCCTCAACACTAGGAGCTGCATGGAAGATGGCGATAATTAGCAAACAAAAGACTATCAATTTCATCCTTGATTTTCAACTTGGAATCACTTTAGATGCCATCCCAACATCTCAAAGCTATGCTTTATATAGAAACCTTTTTCACAACATTTTACAGAGATTTTTTTTTTTAAATATAACATTATATAAAAGTCCCAAAGGGTAGTGTGTTACGTGTCTATTATATCAACGTTAAAATACTATCTTGATCATTGTATTTTATGCTTTGGTTCAAAGACTATTTTAGCCTCTGTTTGCAAAAATTTAACATAATCTACTACTTTCTTATATTGTTGTTTGCTTGAATTAATTTTAAAAAAAAAAATTGGGTAAACTTCATTTATACCCTTAAAACTTAAGCTGGTATTGTTGTTTGCTTGAATTAATTTTAAAAAAAAAATTGGGTAAACTTCATTTATACCCTTAAAACTTAAGCTGGTGAGTCAATTTTAACCTTAAAATATCCTTTTTTTTCCATTGATATAAACTATGAACTCTAAGAACTGTTATAATTTGTTGATACTGAATTCTACCAAGTTGAATAGGTCGGCTTTCGTCAAATCAGAATGAGCTACAGAAGAGCAAGCTGCTTATGAGGAGTAACCTACACATAGAGAACAAACACTCTGAAGTTCAAGTTAGTGGGARTTCAATCTATTATAAGTCGTAGTCAGATAGAATTTAATACTTGAATGAGCGGAGGGATGTTCCTTTTATAGGCAGTGGGGAGGGGGGACAAGGCTGTTGAATTGCTCCAACGGGCGATTATGGACTGTCCAACTGGAGGTAGCTATTGGACCTATGCAATTCTTTAGTTGGTTTGGTCTTTAGTTCGAGGTGGGTCTTCTCCATTAGGCTAGTTGAACAAGTTTGACCTCACCAAGTTGAGTTAATTAGTCCACATGTCATGTCGTATTTTTCCATCCAACATTGACCGCTCTCTCTAGTAGGTTTGAGCACCTTACCTGACAAAGAATATTGATGGAGCGAACTTTTGAGCTAAGCTGGAAATATGATCGTTCTAGTAGGAGGTGGAACGTTGTTTTGACAAGGCGTCGCACTCGAGTAGCAAACCTTTTAACTTCAACACGATCTAAGCCGCTCGTGGGGTAATACATGGACGACTAAGATTGAATTTCAACCCCTTATAAGGGGTGCCCTGCACCATTCGTTTTTCACTATTTCAAAACTTTTTGCTCACGAGCCGAGCTGAGCTCCCTAGTCGCTCCCACTAGAGGTTGGTTCTTCTTCTTTAGCTTTTCATTTCCTTTAGTTGCTTTTGTGGTTTATGTAGACAGTGATAGTAGTAGCTTGGGGAGTGGTCAGTCTAGTGGTGGCTCGTCATCGAGCTATTCTAGCTTAGATTCACGGTTCACTCTGGAAGTCGAAAAGAGACCTTTAAGAGCAATGACTGGGTGTCAAAGCTCGGCAGGAGGTACATATACTATATTACGCCAAAATATGAGGTGCCTCCCTACATAAGCATGAAATATCCCGAGAATGGCGAGAAGTTAGAAACCCTGCCCCTCGAAAACAGCGACTTCTACTTGAAGATGTTCGAGTTTTTACCAGTCTTTACTTAGTAGTTCTTGAATAAGGTCAACCTGGGACCTGCTTAGCTTGCTCCCAACAGATGGGGGCTTTGTACGGGTGCTACTATTTAGAGTTTTTTCGAAGCTAACCTCGAAAGTGACTCGGCTCGCGAAGTCTTATCTTGAGGTTATCCAGAAGATTCCCTTTAAGGTGCTGATCAAGCTGCTCCTGAGTAATTGTGCCTGATCAAGCTGCTCGTTTGAACGTTTAGCCCACTTAGGGAGGAGTAGCCTATTTATATTATAAACTATTGTCATGTCTCTTATCCTATCAATGTGGGATCCTTAACAAAGTCGTCTTCACGAGTTTATTGAAGACTTATCTTATTCGGAAGATCAATCTGCCGAGCCAGGTATAACCCTGACAATCTCCCTTTAAGATAGGTCTTCGGGTCGATTACTGACCATTTGTTTTATAGAGATGTTGGCGAAATATCTTACCAATGGCGTGTTTATGAGTGATTTTATTATAGCTAAAATTACTTTCACTAATTTCAAAATCACTATTATTTTAAAATAATGTGGTTCGCAATAGTTCTATGAGTTATTTGAAAAAAAATCCAAAATCACTTGAAGTAATTCTAGATCAATTTGCTTGGGAAGCGATTTCCTCGTGACTTTTCGTCAATAAAGTAATAGGAAATTAGTTATAAAAGGGTTATTATTTTAAATTTCAAAATTGTTTTTCTAGTTCATTTTCACCTTAAAATTTTACTTTTTTTTTATTTATGAAGTTTTTTTAATTCTCTAGCTCTATTTATCTTTAATTTTGTTTATTGTCTCTAATTTTATCTCTAAAATTTTTGTAACCTCTCTCTAATTTATCTATCTAAGATTTTTGTCTGCTCTCTAAAATTGCTCTCTCTAGGATTTTTTTTCCTCTCTCATTTTTCTCTCATTTAACAGTATTGTAAAATTATCTTTTTAAACTTCAAATATTACTCATCCAAAATTACTTTTAATTACAAAAAATCAATTGAAAAAGTTTATAACCAAACAATGAAATAATTATATATAAAAATCACTTTCACATAATCAATTATAATTAAATCTCGTTTGCTAAAATCACTAATTCTAAAATCATTCACAAATAGACCCAGCCCTAACTACTTATTTAAAAAATAGTGTGCTTTATTTTTTGAAGGATATCATTTCTATGTCTCTTACTCCACACTTTTTTTTCTTTTGATAGAGAGTACTCCACACCTCTCTTTGAGTAGGTTTTGGAATTATTGATACAACCAATGTGATAAGATAAACTTTATACATTCAAATGTTCACATGGGTAGAAAATACATATGGAGAGATATAATTCACGGGTTGAAACACTTTTCTTTTCTTCTAAATATATTAACAGATTTCATATTGGAGCTGTGAAATAATAATCATTTTGAATGATAAGATTTCAAATATTTGAGCTTACATTAATTTTCAATTTACAATATTAATAATGATATCAACTACTAGGGTGAAACAGGTTGAATTAGGTGCGATTTCATTCCTATCATTTATCACATGTTTTAAAATAATTGTAGTCCTTATACTTTCAACCTTTTTTTTTAATTTTTAATTTTAGTATACGTTGCACGATCATGTGACAAGACTAGGGAGAGTGAATGAGGTTGCTTACTAAATTAAAATATTATTTCACATCTTACCCAATTTAAATCAAACCAACCAAATTAGCTCCCTAAAATTAACAGAGATGTATACTAGTTGGGCTTTGTGGTCCTCATTAGAACCTCTGTATTCATTACTAGAAATATGGTCTTCCATGACAGTTGTCAACAGTAAAAAAATTTGGATGAAAAAAAACTATCATAAATAATTAGGATGCGTTTTTTTGCGGTAAAAAACGCAATTTTTTGGATTTTGTAAGTTTTATGACAGTTAAAAACTGTCACGAAAAGGTGGAGGTGCGATTTTGGTGGGAAAAAACGGTGACGTACGAAAATTTCCATGTTTTCTGACATTTTATAATTGTCAAGAAAAATAAAAAAATTTCAAGTATTTCATGACAGTTACCTAGACCATCTTGAGAATCTATGACATACAAAAAGTGTCACAAATGATTTTGAGCGCGTTTCATTTTAGTTGGAAAAACTGCAGCTTTATGGATGATATTAATTATTTCGGGATTCTCCGGTTGTATCGAGTATAGATTTTTTATTAATAGTTTCCCCAAATACTCCATGAAATAACTAGAAAATGGTCACTACAACAAATCTGCTATTTCATGACGGGCATTGCCCGACATTAAATATTAACCATGTCGGTCATTGACCGACATCTATACGAGTGTCCTTGTTTCCCTTTCATGTCCGATAGTTTTAAGGTCGGGCATTGCCCGTCATGTATATTTTCTTTCCATCCGGACATGGCCGTCATGAAACGACCCTTTTAAGGTCGGGCATTGCGCGTCATGTATAGCGTTTTCCATGACGGACGTGCCGTCATGAAAGAATAACCATGACGGGTGACGACCGACATCTTTATGACTGTCCTTGTTTTGTGACTGTCATTGTATGTGCGACATTGTTTGTACGCCATTGTTTGTACGTCATCTTTTGTGTGACATTGTTTGTACGTCATTGTATCTACATCGATATGTGCGTCATGGAATGACTATATTTCGTGACAGATATTGACCATCATTATTTTGTGAATAAATAAATGAAAAAATAGTTGGTTGCCCAAACGTGGCTAACCAACTATATATATTTCCTTCACACCTATGATAATATCTGAATATGCAACTAAAACTTTTAACACATTCATCCATTATAAAACAATATCTATTCTAATACTTAACTCAAAAACTAACCTTAGACTGAAAACACAAATAATCAAAAAGTACAAATTTCAACATAACCTGTCCACTTTTAGAATAACTCAAAACTAGCCAACAATATATCTCTCAATTCCAACCTATTCTATAAAAGCTTAACAAAAACACAAACAATCAAGAGTAAGTACAAATTTCATCATGACCTCCCCACTTTAGAATATAACTCAAAACTAACGAACCAATATATCTCCTTCCAGCCTATTCTCACAAAATAATTCTCAATATTATTGAAACTAAAAAACTAATATGCAAGTAAAACTAATTTCAACATCATGATCTTCTAAAACACAACTCAAAAACTAACATTAAACTCAAAACACAAATAATCAAAAGTACAAAATTCAACATAACCTCTCCACTTTTAGAATAACTCAAAACTAGCATGGTTATAAACAAAACAACCACTTCTATATAAACACCCTTCCACACAAGAACAAATGGGACCGCCCGTCCCTCCAACAAAACTACATTCAGCATAAAAATCCAGACTTCAGCATCATCTAGTCAAATACTTCTATAATAATCCAAAACTAATATGTTATGCAGTACCTTTCAAACTTCAAACTTCAAACTTATTATAAACAAGACAAAGTATTTCT